ACGAACGCAGTCAACTGCACTGGTCTATGATCGAATGGCCGTCCAATATGATGCAACTGTAATCTGCGTCCTGCTGCTGCTAGTGTGCGTACTTCCTCAACTGCTCCCAACATCGACTGCCACCCCATGATGTGGTCAATGGTCTTACTGTGATGCTCGCCTATGTAGCTAGGTGCCATGCGAAAGTGCGTGCCGTACGAAGTGATATGCATGCCATCCACAAGAGGTCGCACCATATTAGTCGTGTAGTGCTCATCCCCTGTACTGTACATGCCACAACATGTTGATTCATCATCATACCGTAATCCATCATTCAAGTACGTGAAGATTAAAACGGTGTCGTGAGACGTCAGCTTGTGCAACACCTCACTCAACCACGCGACCATCTTTGTAACGGTCTTCTCGTCCCTGATCCTATCTTCCCTGCGAGTGTGACGTGGTGGGAAGTACAAACCGATCAAGACAAGCCTCATCTCTCCCTGCACAATGCGAAGCGCTGCACACCTCCCCCACAAGGGCGTCGGTATGTTGAACACCTTCTTGATGTGGTGCTCTCGAAATTTTCGCGCACGAAGCATGAAAGTGATGCCACATGACCGATTCGAGTGAACCCCTGAGCGATATCCGAACGGGATGCAGAGATACTCACCTGCGCGATACGTGTACTCCATCATGCCTATCCTACTTCTGAGTTGTGTCCCAATGAGCACAATAGCGTCACGATGCACAAGTTCGTTGGCTATGTCCTGCGCGCGCACGAGCGTGTTACAGCAACATGGATTGTACTGCGCCACTCGAAGAAAGGCCATAGCGCACGTCGAGCTCCCCCTCGGCCACCAGCTGTCACCGCCTCCCTCATTCAATAGAAGACATCCATGGCCAGAAATCTTCACAAGTGAGAGAGTTACAAAGCTGGTGCGATCCTCATTCGCTGGGCGGCTCGGGCCACCAGCTATCCTCCCCCTCCTCCTCCTCCTCCTCCTCCTCCTCCTCCCTCCTCCTCCTCCTCCTCCTCCTCCTCGTCCTCCTTGT